AAAGAAGCGGTTGCCTGCTAGGCGGTCGAACAGCTCATCGGAACGAGGCATGGGATAGTTGTTCTTAACCGTGTAGCGGTTAAGGCCGCGGTAGTTGATGCAGAGACGAAAAGTTTCATCCGCTTTGCGAGCAAAGAGGACGGGTGCACCCCACGGGGAGTTGCTGGGTTTAATGAAACCCAGTCTCAGGAGCTCCTCAAGCTGACGCTCGAGTTCGGTGGCCTCGGGGATCGAGAGTCTGTAGGGTGCCTGGTGGTGAACACGATAGTCAGGCTCGAGCTGAATGGAGTGCTCGACGTCACGCATCGGTGGGATGCCGGCGTACGAGAACGACGATGGGAAAACGTGGTGGTACTCTCGGATGAGGTCACGAAATGCGGGTTCCAAGTCAGTCGTATATCGTGCGAGTTCCTCAGCGTCAGCGTCAGCGCGCGACGGCGGGGTGAACTCGACAGACGGCGGAGGGACGGAAGTAGAGATGGGAGCCATGGAGATAGAGGGAGGATCTGGCTCCAGAGGGATGAGCTCGGCGTCGGGACAAGGTGGATCACAGTATAAGAGATCCGTCACGTCCACCATAAAGAAGGTGACGTTGTCTTGTCGAATGAAGTGAGCGAACTGCCGAGGCGAGGTGACAGTGATAGAGGGAGATGGTGTGGGCATTGAAGGCTCCGGGGGAGGAGGATCGGGGCGTGGTGTCGCCGTGGTACCTATGAAAGATACGCGATACGTCTGTCCACACTTCGTTTTGAGAACGAGAGTGTTGGTCGCCCAATCGGCCTCGGTGCTGCGGAAACCGAGGAGACCACGGAGTGCCGAGAATGAAGTCGTACCCCGTCTCCATCACATCGAAATGTGCAGAGGAGCGGTGGCGACGAGACGCCGGGGAACGCTCAGTCGGCTCGAGAGTGAGGAAGAAGGGGAGGTCGGTGACCGTCTGATCGAAGAAGCGATGGGTCTTGTCATCCCCTAGGGTAACAGAGATGGGAGTCGGAGACCCTGTCGTGGGTAAGCGCGCTTCCTTCACCACGCGTGGGTGAATGAAGTCGCCCTGAGAACCGGAATCCCACAGCGCTGAGTACACCCTCGTGGAGGTCCCGAGTCGTACGGGAATGATCGGGAGGGTGCGATCAGGGTTAGAGAGGATGGCGAGAAGGCGACGCAGTGCAGCGACATGGAAGGTGAGTCGCTCCTGACGAGCCTGGAGCATGCTCAAGTCCAGAAGAGAGGACACAACATCCTCACGAGTGGCAAGCTGCTCGCTGCAACGGATTGAGCGAACGGCTCGACGCGTCGGTAGTCGCGGCGGGGGAGGAGGGGAGACGGTGGTCTGCGGAGGCGCAGACGGTACTGCGACAGAGGGCTGAATACACTCTGTCGAGTCCTGCGATACCTCAACTCCAAAAGCGAGAGGGGCGAACCGCGACGGAGATGTCGGGAAACCCACTACTGAGGAGGGCGCAGGTGTACACTGCACCGTGGCTAGGATGCGCCGCGGGGACGTGAGGCGCCGCGGGGACGTGAGGTGCCGGGGGGGGACTGAGCACGACGCTGACGAGAAAGGTCAGCGTAGTGGCGGTCGAGGGCGGTAGTATAAGGGCACCGCGAGGAGGTATGGCCGTCCAAGCGGCAGCGCAAACACCCACGCCGGCCCAGAATAGCCGCGCGCTCCTCAGGGGAAAGGACATCATGAGGAGGGACGAAGCCCTTAGGGAGGTCCTCCTGAGGGACCTCGGGGGCAGATGCGCCAGCGTGACCGGGGCGGCTGCGTGCCCGAGAGAGGGCAGAGAGCGCGAGCTGAAGGCGCTCAGCTGCAGGGAGGGTAGAGTCCTCCAAGTGATAGTGGACGGCCTCGCAGAGATCGAGGTCGTCGCTGTGGTCACCCTCAAATGACAGTGGGGCAACAGCGTCCTGCTCGCCATACTCCAGCGCGCTGAAGCGGCACGAGAAGTGGAGGCCCTGCTGAGTGGAACGGCGGGGGCGACCGCGGAAAGGGGAACGGCGTTGGGAAGTGTCGTGAGAGGAGGGGGCGTAGCCCATGCGCTGGGGCTGGGAGGAGGAGGCGGGGTGAAGACGGGCTCGTATCCCCTGGTGGTCCCTGGCGGCCTCGTAAGCCTGTGGGGCCGATGTGAACTCGTACCGCCATATCTCTGAACGGTACTCGAGCGGAAGGCTGGCCAAGAAACGATCGATAAGGGCAGCCTCGGGGAGGAACGCCACGTCGCAAACGAGGCGGGCGTCGTGAAAGACCTGGATGTGGCGATCCAGGCCGGCAGCGCCACCAGAGCCGGACCAGCGTGTAGTGACGACACGCTCGAAGGCGTAAGTCACGTCGTATCGGCCTCCGAAGCGATCCTCGAGGAATGCCTGGAAATCCACGAAGGTCGGAGTCCGACCCTCACGAAGGGAGTAGGCATAGAAATCCTCCCAAGCCTCGAAAGGACCGCCACGCAGGCGCGTGGAGAGGTGACCCACCCACGTCTCGGGTGTGGCGCCCATGAGCTGGAGTGTGAGGGTGGCAGACTGCAGCCACCRAGACACGCGTATGCCTGTACCGTCATACAAGGCAATGTCCGACAAGCGGATGAGTGGTGCGCCACCGTTTTGGCGGCGAGGGGACCGAGGAGCGGAGGCCTGTGCCACGGCTGAGTAAGTCGGCGCAGGTCCTGGAGAGAGGGGCGCAGTTGACTGTGCGCCCGGGCCACATAGGGGAGCGGCGGTGGCAACAGCAGCAGGCTGCGAGGATGCTGCGGTAGAAGAGGTCGCAGCAACCGCGGGAGTAGGAAGAAGGTAGGAAGGAGTTGTATAGGGTGCAGGGCGCGGAAAGCGAGCCTACATGGGAGGAAGGGTAGAGGAGGTAGGGGGTGCGCCCGAAGGCGCGGCCACCTGTGAGGGTGGGGGTGGCTGAAGGCGTAAGAGGGCRAGRTTGRYCCGGAGCTGGGCAATCTCGTCCTCGAGACCTCGAACGTAGGTCGTGCGAGGGGTAGCAGGGGGAAGAGTGGAGGAAGTGGATGCACAAGCGGCGCGGGGCATCCCAGAGGGCGGAGAG